CACGGGGGGGCGGGGTACCACATGCGTCCGCCACACCGAGTACGGCGTTTCGTGGCCCCGTAGGGAGCTCCACGGAATGCCCCCGGGGGGAGGGGTTCCCCCATGCGTCCGCCACAGCCAGTACGGCGCTTCGTGGCCCCATAAGGAGCTCCACCTAAGGCCCCAGGGGAGGTACCACATGCGTCCTCCACGCCCAGTACGGCGCTTCGTGGCCCCATAGGGAACTCCAGTTAGGGCCCCAGTGGGGGCTGGCCACATGCGTCCGCCACACCCAATTTGGCAGTTTTACCGGCCCCATCGGGAGCTCCACCGAAACCACCAGTGGGACCGTCCGTATGCGTCCCGCACACCAAATTTGGCATCTTCACCCAGCCAGTAAAATGCTTCGTGGCCCCATTTAGGAGCTCCACCGAAGCCCCCAGTGGGACCGTCCGCATGCGTCCCGCACACCCAATTTGGCATTTTCACTCACCCGGTACAGCGCTTCGTGGCCCCATAGGGAGCTCCACCGCAGCCCCCAGTGGGACCGTCCGCATGCGCCCCAGAAGCCCAAGTTGGCATTTTCACCCACCCAGTAAAGCGCTTCGTGGCCCCACAGTGAGCTCCACCAAACCGTCCGCATGCGTCCCACACACCCAATTTGGCACTTTCACCCACCTAGTGCAGCGCTTCGTGGCCCCATAGGGAGCTCCACCGCAGCCCCCAGTGGGACCGTCCGCATGCGTTCCCCCACCCAGTGCAGCGCTTCGTGGCCCCATAGGGAGCTTCACCGAAGAAGATATTCACAATTGCGGTGCCCACATTGCATATGGTTGGGTCCTTCGCCAGGATATGTTTTTTTATCTTCGTTGGTGTGTTGTTGAAATGTTTTATGGATTCGCCCAAAATCTGCCTTTAGGAGGACATGCCCGATCTAATATTACTCCCTCCCGTCATCGAAGCATCTGCCCCGATGGCGGTGGGGAAAGTCACGATGGTGAAGGTCCAATCTCAGGTTCGATGACGTCCTATAATGGTGAAGGTCGGATTATCGGTCCAACACCTCCTCGTTTTCGCACCCCCCCTCTCTGGCGAACGAGCCCACCCATATGGGGGTCGGAGGGAGGAGGGCTGGCTCTGGGTATGGGTGCGGACTGTCGAGCTCCAGGGGAGGTTCCCCCTTCGAGCGGCCTCTGCGGCCCTCTCTTGGGGGGCCTTCGGCGCGACGGCCGGATCCTCCTCGAGGGGAGAGTTCCACGAAGCAGTGTTATGGGTACCTTTTGTGTCCCATCGCCCTCCACCCCCCCTCCCCCTCCCCCACCCACCTTTTTGGCTGGACAAACTCGATCTCAACACCAGAAAGAAATATGTTCGGCCTCGATGGGCCCTTACATCAGGGGCGGCCCGATGGGCCGCGAGCACACCGGAGCCTCAAGGGCGCTGAGAGCTCGTCACGGCAAGGGGGGTCAGTCACGGAGCAGCGGATCGTTTCGGCCGCGCCCGATGATTGTCGGCCACGCTCGGGGGCCCCCAAACGCGGTGGTGACCACAATGTGCCGTGAGTCGGTGGGGATTCGAGGTCACCGCACGGTTTTGGGTGCCCTCGCTTGGCCGATCCCTATCCCCATCTCCATCCCCGTCCCCATCCCGACCCCCACCATCCCACCACCCCAGTTGGGGGATCTGCCCCCCGAAACCTGAAGGGAGCAGCCTGTCTCCTGATCTCTGGGAGGGTAAGTTGGCCAGCGGGGCCCCGGCCACGCCCGTGGGGATGGGGATCGGCCAAACGAGACCCGCGATGGCCTACGCCAGGGCTGCCTGGGCCGCTCCCCTTCCGCTCGCGCCCCCGCTCCCCCTTCTCACTCCCCGGGGGCTCGCTCCGAGCCCTCCGCTTCGATTCGGCTCGACTTCGACGGCCTCCGATGCCGGTTCGATTCGGCTTAGGATTCCGATGTGTGGATGCCGATTTGGGACTCTGCCTGGATTCGAAACCGTTTCCAAACTTTGGGTTTCCATTTCTCAAGGGAATCCAAACTTTGGGTTCCGATTTCTCAAGGGAGGCCTTCTGGCCTGCCGATTGCCGCCGGTTCGACTTCTCCCAGCTCGGCTGCCGATTTCCGCCGATCTGGTTCATTTCGATCGCCGATCCGACTTCTCGATTCGATGCTGGGTTGTCCTGCCTCCTCCCCTCTGCGACCACTCTCGGCCACGCGCAGGGGGGGGGGTAGGCCGCCCGGATGACTTGAATCGGCGCCGGAGGGGCCGCCGCGGGGCCACAGCGCCGATGCGAGGAATCCGATCGGACCTCCGAGTTGTTATGTGTATGGCGGGGAGGTGGGCAGGCTTCTGGGAAGCCCCCTGGCTCTCAGAGGTCGCGGGCCGTGTCTGTAGATGTAAGGGCAGCACCGTCTGAGAAGCGGGCTTGGTGGGCCTGTTTTCCACCACCACCGTAAGTAGGAGGGCGAGGGTCCCCCTCTTCCACTTCCTCGTTCTCATCCTCAACCTCCTTCCCCGCTCTAAGAAGAAGCTCATCAAGGCTCCTCGGAAGAAGCCACCCCCCTTCGCCCTTCCCCCTCGTGCGCGCCGCCAGCAGTTGCGAGCCCTACCCCGTACCCTTGCATTTTCGCCTCGTGAACAGATCACAGTGGAGTTTGCTTCGCCATGTTCGACCTGGCCCTTGTCTTCAGTATGGCACGTCCCTCTACAGGAGATATATTCAAAAACAGTCAAATAGTAGTCTAAGGACGACTTTTCCTATTTTTGTTTTGATAATTCCGGTGATGTTTTGAGTATGGCTTGATTATCATCCAAAGTCTGTCTCTAGGGAGACATGCCCGACCGAACCCTTGTCTTGCCCCACGGACGTCAACCAATTACACTGGATGAGTCGCTGGGTCCCCGGGAGTGGTTTCAGGTGAGCGGGCAGCCACATTTCTCGACAAATCACAGCGTCGGATGTTTGGGTACGGGCCCAATCGACACGGGTGTATCGGACACCCTCTCAGGGGTACATCTATCCGCAGACGTCCACCAAAATGTAACCCCAAGCCTGTTTGTCAAAAGCCTGGTTCGCATGGGCAGGGCTCACATCGTGTTGACTATCCCCTTTCGCGTTCGCATGGGGGCTTCGGATGTAAAGCGCATGTCCAGAGCTCTGCAAGGTTTCCAGAACGCGCCAGAACGGCCGCGGCGCCCCGTACGTCCTCCTGATCTGCCAGCTCCTGGGCACTCCTGACAATCATCAGCATCTTGGTTTCGTCTTACGTTCTTCTCCCCATGCCCTCTCCCTCCAGTCCCCGTCCCTGGGGTCCAGGCCCCGTCGCCAGAGGCGCCGCCAGGGGACCCCAGCGCCGATCCGAGAAATCCGCGCGGACCTCCAAGTTATAATGGCTATATCATTAGTTCATTCCCCTATTATCGAGGATGCTCTGCGCCAAACGGGCGCCCTCTGAGGGGTTCGCCGCCCCTCAGTTGTACCAAACCCTCACCTCTGGTTCGCCTCTCCAGTGGTGTTGAAACTTTCAGGGGTTGAAACGGGGGAAAAAAAACAGCGTGTGCTAGCCCAATGTGTGTTTACACCGGTCAACCCAATTAGTCGATCATCACATCGCCTTCGTCGTAGTGAAGGGCCTCAGTAGGCAAACACAGGTTGGCGCTGACACACGTTCTGAGGATCATCGATATTAGGACCCCCAGGACCCCATCTTTGAACCACCGCTGGGGGACGGGAGCTATGAGCGCATAGCACCCATCTGCACCGAACCCCCTGCCAGTGGCCAGGCCCAGGCGCCCTGGGGCGGGTGCGTGGTCGGGGCTCCAGAGACGGGGGACAATGCAAACGGGGGTCAGCCAGAGCGCCCGATCTTGCAGTATCCTTCAGTGCCAGAGCCGCATTGGCCCAGGCTTGGGCGCAGGGTCCTGCAGGATCCTGCAGGATCCTTCGCATTGACCACAGCTTGGGTGCAGGATTATGATGTTTTAGCTTATTTTAGCCTGGATCGCCAGAAAGCATTTCGAGCACCAAGCAAGTACCGAAAATCGAAGGTTGTCACGTGTCGGGCCCTGGGAGACACTCGTCCGACACTGCTTCGACACTGCTTCGACACTTTTCTTGGTGCTCGAACTTATTTCTGGGATGTGGTCCTTCTGTACGATTATGGGAACAACATGAGTGCAGGATCTAGCAGGACTCTGCAAGGCCTGACTGACCCGGGTCTGGGTTGACCCAGGTCGGAAGATCCCCGACGTGCGTCTCCCTGGCCAAGGCCAGAGGCCGTCGGCCGTCGGCAGCGATTCTGTTGGGCGTCGCGCCATAGGGGAGGGGGCGAGAAACCCAGACCCCCTCGAGCAGTGACACAATCAGGACGGGGGGGTTTCCCCACTTTCGGCCTCTGGGTGCCCTTGCCGGGCCTCGGGGCCGTCACAAAACGATTCGGGACGATAAACAGGTCCCGGGGAATGGGTCGAGACCTCTGGGGGTCGACGTTATGAAAAAGTCATGACGTCAGGGGTCTGGGAATGGGGGCCCGTTAGCGGCAGGGGTCCTAAAAGCTTCAGAAGAGGCCCTTGATGGGGCCCCTCGGGGGCCCTTTGGGTCAGCGGGGGCTGCAGAAAAGGAGCCCTCCCTATAGGGCCCTGAGAGGGCCAAAAAGAGTGCTTCGGGCCCGAGAAGTGCACCTTTCTCCCCATTCTTTCTCGCCACCCCGTTGAGCGACCCCCAATCGTGGGCCCACTGTGGGCCCAGCCAGGATAGGTTCATGTGCATCAGTTCATCTTGTCGACCGCACGTCGGATGACCCACCCCTCCCTCGCCGGAGAGACCCGCTTGTGGTGCGGGTCCAGTGGGGCCCCCCGATGGCTGAGCGCCACGCGGTCGCAGCGACCTGCGTGCCTAACCCCCCGACGCGCCCACCTGGAGCCGCGCACCACAGGCCGCCTCTTGCCTGGGGCCACTTCGTGCAGGTGGCCGACCTCTCCTCTGCCTCTCCGTGCCCGCGCCCGGCTCCGAGCCCCATCCCAAGGCTCCTCTGCCTCTCCGTGCCCGCGGCCGCGGCCGCGCCGCCGAAGCTGCTGGTAGCGCAGGGCGCGCTCGGCGGGCCGCAGAAAGGCGCGCTGCGCTCCCCGACAGCGACTGCCTGGCGCGCGCCACCTCCTCCTGTTCCTCCTCGTCACTTCCTCCCCGTCCTCCTCCTCCTTCCGTGGCTACTTCTTGGTTCAGGGCACCACGTCGCCCGGGGGCCTTCAGGGAGACCTCTGGGCCGAAAGGCAGCGTTCGATGGCCTCCTGCCGCGATCAGGGACCCTCGGCACTCCACTGCCTCTCCAGCGCTGCTTGGCTACATTCCTGGCCCTGCAGGCGGTCCTCCAGACAGCAGCATCGTCGAGCCATCCATGTCCAGCGCCCTGGTCGGCGTCAGCGGCGGGAGCTTCCATATCCCGGGGCAGTACGCCCCGCTGCCGCTCACCAGGCCATCATGGGCGCGCCGTCGAACAGCTTCGTCCCCAACAGCCACGTCCCGCCTCCGCTCACCAGGCCATCATGTGCGCGCCGTCGAACAGTTGCGTTCCCAAGAGCCACGTCTCCAGCAGACGCCATCTCTTGCCGCCCTTTTTTCCCAATTGTTCCAACGGTGGCGGCGCCGATGAACCGTCCACGTGCAGAGCATCCCTGCGACAGTCACCCCACGTCGCCAGCACCAGCAGGCACGGCGCTTCGCATGCCGCCCAGGCCACCGCCACGGCGAGCGAGGTGCCCGACGAGCTCAAGCACGTGACGCCTCGCCTGCCATCGGCCGGGCGTGTGCATTTTTCGGTCGCGAGGACCATCGAGGAGCATCCCGGATCATCCCGCGAATAATACACGCGCAACATCGAAGAATGCACGGGGAGTGAACGTCCGAGCGATGGCGAGAAGCACGTGCCACTTCCGTTCAGAATGAAGACAGTGGTGCACCGATGTTGTCAAGCCTACATGCCTCGTGGTTTGATCATGCCCTTTATTCCGAAAGTTCAGCAAATTCGGATGGGTATTGCTCACTTTGTTTGATATATCGCGTCTGTGTTGTTGTCCAGTGTCAGCTGTGCTAGTTTTGAAACCCGATTGCGTTTTACTTGACGGATGATATTTGTTTCATCGTGATTGTTCTCGGAATGTCATTGCCATTGGGTTGCCTTGTTCGGTTGTCGCTTCGTTTCTTCGCTAGTTTCGTTTGTGCTGCTTCGTTTTGTTTGTCTCCTGTATCGGTTCTGACTTGGTGCACGTTACCTCGCGGCCCAGTAGTTGTTCACAGTTTTGATTGTTCCCGTTTAGTGCTAGCTGATTGTCCCCGCTCAGTGTTACCTGATTTTCGACACAAGCCCCATTCTGGATCAATATACACCGTATTCCGGATCACTATATACGTGTTCCGGATCAGTTTACGTATCGAATTATTTCATCGTTTCGTTCATTCCGCCGGCCCATAATGTCGCACCGTGGTCGCCTGTCCGAGTGGTCGTTTGCAGTGTGGAGCTGCGGCGTCGGGAGCTGTGTAGTTGTCGATAAATCTGTCCGAAACCAAAGGAAAAGCACAGTTGTTTTGCCTCTTGGGGCCCTCTTGAGAGTTCTCTTGGAGGCCTCTTGGGGCATCTTGGAGGCTTCTTGGGCCATCTTGGAGACGTCTTGGGCCGTCCGGAGGACATCTTGGGCGTCGTGGAGCGATCTTCGGGCGTCTTGGACCTCTCTTGGACCGTGTTGGGGGCGTTCTTGGGGCCCTCTTGGGCCGTCTTGGAGGCTTCTGGGGCCGTCTTGGAGCCGTCTTGGGCCGTCTTGGGACCCTTTGGGGGGCCTCTTGGGCCCTCTTGGGGCGATCTTGGAGGCCTCTTGAGCCGTTTAGGGGCGTCGGGGAACCGAAAAGGTTGAAACGCCCAAATCTGTCCAAAACCTTAGAAACAGTATTGATGTTTGCCTCTTGGGACCCTCTTGGGAGTGCTCCTGGAGGCCTCTTGGGGCATCTTGGAGGGTGGTTGTCATCTTGGAGACCTCTTGGGCCGTCTGGAGGCCATCTTGGGCGCCGTGGAGCGATCTTCGGGCGTCTCGGAACTCTCTTGGATTGTGTCGGGGGCATCTTGGGGCCCTCTTGGGGCGATCCTGGAGGATCTGGGGCAGTGTCCCGGGCGTGTCCCGGGCGTGTCCCGGGCTCCTCTCGGGGTACGCTTGATCCAGGAACCCCCAGGGGCCGCCCCGCGCGCGCGAACCAGAAATACTGTTTACCAGTTATCGGAGATCTTAGCACGCCTCTGGCCCGTTGGGCCGGCGAATTGACGCTCCGCGTATATCCACCAGCGTCCGTAGCCATTTTGGCTCAAGCCATAACCGCCGCCCGCGGGTGCAGCCTGGTGGCTGCGAGGCGCCGGACGGATGGCTGCGGTGGTGCCACCGGCTGCCGGTGCAACGGCGGCCAGCGGCGCCAGCCCCTTGAGCCCCTGGCGACCTCGGCTGCTCCTGCGAGAACGGCGGGCAGTGGGAGCGTGGCGGGACGGCAGTGGCAGCACCTTAGGAAGAGTGGGAAGGGACGGCAGTGGAGACAGTGGTGAGAAGACGGAGGGCGGCAGTGGTAGCGTGGTGGGAGGAAAGGGGGGGGGCGACAGTAGCAACGGCGAGGATCGCACCGGCAGTGGCAGCACGGGGGGCGACAGTCGTGGCAGCGGCGGGGGCAGTGGCACTGCTGGAGGAGGGACCAAATACGAGGACGGCAGTGGCTGGTCGACGGGTCGCGACGGCGGTGCGGAGGGGGACGGCAGTGGCACCGCGGTGGGAAGCAGACGGCGTGACTGCGACGGTAACGGCGGCACCAGCGCGCCCGAAAACAGGAATGGTGGCGGCAACGGTTCCTGGGGCCAGCACCAGCGCCAGCACCAGCACCAGCGCCACGACCAGCGTTCCGACCGGCGCAATGACCAGCACCACGACCAGCAATTTGACCAGCACAACGACAACCGCAACGGCCAGCACTCCAACCGACCAGCACTCCGACCACCACAACGACCAGCACCACGACCAGCACCACGACCAGCTCAACGACCAGCACAACGACCAGCACAACGACCAGCACAACCGCCAGCGCCACGACCAGCGCAACGACCAACACCACAACCAACACAACGACCAGCACAACGACCAGCACCACGACCAGCACAACGACCAGCACAACGACCCACGACGACCAGCGCTCCGACCAGCACTCTGACCAGCACAACGAACCACGACCAACACTCCGACCAGCACAGCGACCAGCACCACGACCAGAACAACGATCAAAACTCCGACCAGCACCACTATCAGCACAGCGACCAGCACACCGACCAGCACCACGACCAGCACCACGACCAGCACCACGACCAGCATAATCACCAACGCAACCACCAGCACCACCACTGGCACAACGACCAGCACAACGACCAGCACACCGACCAGCACAACGACCAGCACAACCAACAGCACCACGAGCAGCACTCCGACCAGCACAACGACCAGCACAACGACCATCAATTTGGGCACAACGACCAGCACAACCACCAACATCCCGACCAGCACTCCGACCAGCACAACGACCAGCACTCCGACCAGCGCTTCGACCAGCACCACGACCAGCACCACGACCAGCACACCGACCAGCGCAACGACCAGCACACCGTTCAGCGCCACGACCAGCACAACGACCAGCACAACGACCAACACTCCGACCAGCGCCACGACCAGCACCACGACCAGCACAACAACCAGCACAACCACCAGGATCGTTACCACAACGACCAGCACCACGACCAGCACCACGACCAGCACCACGACCAGCACAACCACCAACACTCCGACCAGCGCAACGACCAGCACCACGACCAGCGCAACGACCAGCACAACGACCAGCACAACCACCAGCACAACGACCAGCGCCACGACCAGAACAACGACCAGCACAACGACCAGCACCACGACCAGCACAACGACCAGCAGTCCGACCAGCACCACGACCAGCACCACGACCAGCACAACCACCAGCACAACCAGCAGTTCTCCGACCAGCACCACGACCCGCGCCACGGCCAGCCCCACGACCAGCACAACGACCAACACAACGACCAGCACGACCTGCACCACGATCAGCAACCCTGCGAACAGCGACGACGCCTCCAGCTCTGCGGCGCCGATGCCTGCGTGCACCCGCCATGCTGCGTCATCTCACGCACGCGCCTTCGACGTTGGCAGCGACGCATGTACATCGAGGCCTTGCGCGGACGTCTGCAGACCGAGTCCGCGCAGCGGTTGAGGGCCGAGGAACAATGCCGAGCACTGATGGCGGCCCCCAGTGGAACTACGGCCCGCGAGCGTGCTGTCCTGGCAGGCCACCGGCTGCATGCGGCAGCATGCCACCACACAGGTGTAAGCGACCACCACGGCCCTGTGGCGCTTCGGCGCGCTGGGTGGTTCAGCCCTGCAACCCGGGAGACGCTCCTACGCGCCGCCGTGGGCAGACGCCATGGGCCTGCCGACCTGTCGGACGAAGAGTTTGCGGCCCTCTCTGCGCCAGCGCTGCGAGCCGCACAGCGAGACGCGCGCCGCCTGGATCGATGCGCCTCGCCTGACGAGCCCCGACACTGCGCCGCGCCTCTCGCTGAAGCGGCCGGGGACTTTACAGGGCGCCGTGCGGCTGCGGTATTGCGGGTGCAGACGGCGTGGCGGAGACGCGCGAGCCTTCGCCGCTCCGAACAGCACCGCGACCAGCACTCCGACCAGCGCAACGACAACCGCAACGGCCAGCACTCCGACCAGCACCACGACCAGCACAACGACCAGCACACCGACCAGCACCACGACCAGCACAACGACCAGCACCACGACCAGCACCACGACGAGCACCACGACCAGCACCACGACCAGCACAACGACCAGCACAACGACCAGCGCCACGACCAGAACCACGACCAGCACACCGACCAGCACACCGACCAGCACACCGACCAGCACAACGACCAGCACAGCGACCAGCATAACGACCAGCACAACGACCAGCACAACGACCAGCACAACGACCAGCGCCACGACCAGAACAACGACCAGCACAACGACCCGCACCACGACCAGCACAACGACCCGCACCACGACCAGCGCAACGACCAGCACCACGACCAGCACAACGACCAGCACACCGACCAGCGCAACGACCAGCACAACGACCAGCACCAGCGCCAGCACCCGCGCCCACCTGGTAACCTGCGGGATCGCTTTCGCAGGGTCGCCTGTCGACACGGTTCAGCGCGCCCGATCCGCGCAGTGGGTTTTTTCAGGTTCTGGCATGACCCAGCCGAGCCGCGTGACCTGGAGACCCCAAGCCTCCCGAGGCTCCTGGAGCGTCGCTGCATCCCCGCTGGCAGCGTCGGCGTCGACATCGACACCTTGTTTGCCCCGTGGGCGCGGAGCACACAGTGCACGACGCTGGAGGTGCACGACCCGTACCTCAGCTACCTTCGCCGCGCTTCCGACGTGCACCCGGCACGCGAGCACCTCGACGCTGACTCCTTGCTTGCAGCGTTGGACGGGAAGGACCTTTCCACAGTCATTGGTCTTGCCATGTTCGAAGAAGTGGTCCGCGCAGTCAATCGAGCCTCCAAACACCTGACCAAAGTTGTGTTGCGCACCCGCTGCCTCCTCCGAGCCGACGTCCCCGCCGACCAACTACTCACTACTCCACGGGTGGGCCGACGCCTTCCGGCTTCGATGGGGGCCATGTGGCATAGACCTCGACGCGGTGACGAATCAACAACTTCACGCCCGTCGCTGCGTGCTGCAAGGCGCCCCCATTGGCGATCGAAGCCACCATAGAGTGGGGGCTGGCGTTCCACCACGACATTGTCGCCAATATGAGCAAACCTTTGGTCCTTCGACGACCCAAGCAGACCGACCTCGCGGTGTACGAGCATCGTGGACCTTGGCCTGAGATTCGCGCTGAGGCAATGGCCGACGCTGAAGCTATAACGGACTTGACCGCCCCACCACCGACGACGCCAAACAGGGAGCGAGAGACGACTTTGACACATTTGGTGCGCAGGGTTGCGGTCGCCAGGCGACGCTCGTGGCGCGGCCTGGCATTCTGCACCTGGTGCCGTTCCGATCGACCAGCTGCCGACGCTGTCGCCCACCTCGCCGACCAGCGGTTCCTACGACTCCGCTGGGGCGGATCCCCAGGCCGTTACGCGCAGGACTTGCTCGGCGTGCAGATCCAGTGCGCAGAGTGTGCTGTCTCCAGGCGCGGACGGGGACCGTGCTACTGGGGCAGCGTGACGTGCCCGCAACGATGTCGGGGTCAACTTCTTGCTCGCGGTGTTGCTTTGCTCTCATTCGTCCGGCGCGAGGCGGGCTGCCCCGTCGAGCTGCCAGATCGGGGCGCGAACGACACGGCTGCGGTGTACGGCACTGACGAGCAGATTGACCAGGTCCGCGCGTCGCTTCGGGCGGTCAATGCTGGGGGCGATCAGGACGCAGTCCGCATCGCGATGGATGAGCACCGTGGTGTTCCATTCGGCGTGCCCCCGTTCGGGCTCCCAGTGGTGGACGACCCGCAGGACGTCGACGACCGTCGCTGCGCGCCACGGCGCAGCCTCAACGCGACGACCAGCAGCCGCAGCAGGAGACGGCGACGGGCTTCAGCACCAGCACGCCGATCACGACAACCCTCGCCTATTGCACCAGTTTCACCGCGACAAGCTCCTCCCACAGACAGCGCACGATGACGACAACGATCATTGCAACGATCACCAGCCACAGCGTGACAATCCACGCCGACGGCTGCAGCACAGGACGATCACGACCAACGTCACGACGACTGGCGGCAACAGCACCGCGGTCAGACAGACTGGGGGGGACGGCAGTGGCGGCGAATTTGGTGGATGGGGGAGGGAAGGCAGTGGAGGCGGAGAAGGAGGTGAAGGAGCGAGGAGGCACGACAGCGGAGGAGTCAGCATCGGCGGTAGTAGCGGCGCGGTGGGAGGAAAGGGGGGCGGACGGCAGTGGCGGCGCGGACACGACGGCCAGCAGCGGCGAATGCTTGTGGACATGTTTCCCGTGCGTCGGGGCGGCCGACGCAGATCTCGCCATGTGGCCACGACGGCGGGACGGGGCGCGAGAGGCGTGCTCCTCATGTGGCATAGCGGGGGCGGCAATCCCCCTTGCCAGGGCGCCGCGCGGGGCTGGCGCTGCCCAGCGAGATGTTGGCGGCGACGCTGGAACCCAACCTCGCGTGCGAGAAGGGCGGGCAGTGGCAGCGGGCCCTGGCGCTGCTCAGCGAGATGGTCGCGACGCTGGAGGACGCGCACAAGTGCGAGACGGGCGGGCAGTGGCAGCCGGCCCTGGCGCTGCTCAGCGACATGGCGGCGGTGCTGGAGCCCAACCTCGTGCGCGAGAAGGGCGGGCAGTGGCAGCCGGCCCTGGCGCTGCTCAGCGAGATGGTGGTGACGTCGGA